CTGCCCTGCATTTATAGATCCATTTTTACATATTCAGGCCGCAGAAGGTGCGGCTAAGAGTCAAAGTGCTTTGAAAATGTTACTTCTTGCTGTAGACAAAGAGCTCTAGGCTCGTTTTATACAAAGACGTAAATCCTTCATGTCATTCCTAGCTTCCCAACATTCATTTAACAATGAATTTTTTTCATTTGACAATCCGTTTTGTTCATCCCTTATCGCTTGTCCTCATCCTCATAATTATCATGCCAAAACGGAGATCATAACAATTCAGCATTATAAAGATCAGCTGGTTCAATAACCCAAATTTGAGGAAACTTGCTACCAAACAGTGCAGCTCGGGATCAAAGATAGACAAAGAAATTCAAAGAATGGAGAAAGCGAAAAAATGTGTACACGGAAAAGACAAGTAGTCCAGGAAGAAAATGAAGAACAAAGCAATAAAAACCCTATGGTGTAGGGACAATCTAGCAATAAAAAACGTGCGGTACGTTGTAGAAGCGATCTGCAATCGAAGCAGCAATACAAGTGAGGATTACCTGAGCCAGATTTGCTATCCAGATATGTTTTCTTGGGAAGAGAATGTCGCACGAATGAGTCAAGCAATGCACCACGCAATTCGACCATCTCCGTTTTATCCATTATGTGCTGCAGAATCTCCGGCGATAGACCAAAAACCATTCCGTGGATCCATTCCATTAGTAAATTCCTTGAAATGGAAAGTTTTAATGGAAGTTTTTGTTACTTTGATGTTGCTCATACAATTTTAACAAATTTATCGCTTTTATAACGATCTTGGTGAGCACGCCACAGTGGAAAGCAGTTGGAGGCCCGACACCTCCCGTGGAATAATCAATCCCTGTACGATTCGTTCATTCGTTGCGATGGTAAACTCGTATCACTAACGTATGCCAAGCAACCAAACCCGTCACCTGCTTGCTTCCAAACAATCTAAAAGCTTATGTGAATCATCCGCAATTCACAGTCTGATTGTGCGTGATCCTTATCAGAAGGAAGCAATGCCTTGCCACAGAAAGAAGCATCAGAAATGTGACAGAAGCATTTGGCAACCGTAAGAAGTCCCAAAAATTCACTCAGGCCGCCAAACCAACATAAGCACACATAGGGTAAAAGAAATTATTAAAAGAACGAGTAAAAAAAAAAGTCATGCAAGTCTGCGAAAACGAAACGAACGCCAGGATCGCTAGCAGACTGACCAGCAGGTGAAGCAGTGTCAGCCAGAGCAAATGGAAAAGCTGCATAGGGTTGGACAATCGCGCCATAAACTGGCATTTGACTCAGGTATAATCATCAAAGCAAAAATTAAAAGCACACATAAAAGGATCACCTGGTGCCACTCAGTAGCAAATCGTCGTTTATCAAAAGTTTTGTTAACATTCGAAAAATTTTGCTCGTATGCTTTGCAGTTGCTGCTTCGGCAATCAGTGCAAGCGAGCTTTGATCAATCAGCAAACTACTGTTTGTAACAAAATTCTCGTGCCTGAAAATCAACTTGATTACAGGCGGTCGCATGATTATTACTACTGTCGTTACAATGATGATCACAACAATGATTATGATTATGATGACGATGATGATGGTCAGGACGATCACGACGATCACAAAGATGATGCCCACATTTGATGGCGATGATGATGATAATGATAATGATAATGATGGTGATGATGATGATGGTGACGATGATGATGATTATGATTATGGTTACGACGATCATGATTACGATTATGACTGACTATGGTTGTGACTACGATTATGATTATCATGATTATAGTTGATTACGGTTGTGATTATGATTATGATCATGATTATCATTGTGATTGTGGTCATGATTATGACGATTAAGATCATGACTACGACTGTGACTATGACCATGATGGTTATGATAATGATGACAACGATTACGATGACTATGATTATGATGGTTGCGATTATGATTACGGTTTTCATGATTATGATTGTGACGGCTATGACTATGATCATGATTATGATCATTATTATGAGAGCGACTATCACGATTGCGATCATGATCTTGATCACGATGATTACGATTATGATGATAATGGTCGCGATTATGACTATTATTATGATGATCGTGATTACCATCATAGTGATTACGATTATCATGATTACGATCGCGGTTATGACGATTATGATTATGATGATTACGGTGATCATGTTTACAATTATGACGGCTACGATTATGATTATGGTTCTGATGATTGTGACTATGATCACGATTACGATGATGGTTATGATGATGATGATTACGATTACGATGATGACTATGATGACTACGACCATTATGATTACGTCCACGGTGATTATGATGATTACGATTGCGATAATTGTGACAATAATTGCGATTGCAATGATTATAGTCATGAGAATTATGATTGCGGTAGTAATTACGATGACTATGATTACGATTATGATGATCATGATTATGATCATCATGATTACGGCGATTATGATCATGATTATGACGATGATGACGATTACGACGATTATGATTACGATGATTGATTGTGATTGTGATGATCACGATTATGATCATGATGATTATGATTATGATGACTATGACTATGACTGCGATTACGATGATTGCGATTACGATGATGACTATGAAAATTGTGATTATGATTACGATTACGACGATTACGATTATGATTACAATGATTGTGGCTACGATCATGATGATTATGATTATGAACATGATCGTGATTATGATTAAGATGATCATGATCATGATTACGATGATCGTGATCATGATGACTAAGATCATGATGATCATGATCATGATAATTATGATTATGATCACGATTATGATGATTGCGATTATGATGACTATGATTACGACTATAATGATTATGACGATTGTAATGATTATGACAACGACTATGATTACGGTGGCCATGATTATGATGATCATGATTATGATTATGATCGATCACGGTTATGATTATGATCATGATGATCACGGTTGATTATGATTATGATCATGACGATCATGATTACGATTGTGATTGTGGTTATGATTATGATGACTACGACCATGACTACGACTGCGATTATGATCATGATGATAATGACGACGATAGCGATGATTATGACTCTGATGGTTACGATTATGATTACGGTTATGATGATCATGATTGTGACGGCTACGGTTATGTTCATGATTATGATCATTATGATGATGATTACGCTTGCGATTATGATCCTGATTACGACTATGATCATGATGATAATGGTCGCGATTGTGACTGTTACTGTGATTATTATGATTACGATTATGCTGATGATGAATACGATGATTATGATCATGGTGATTATGGTGATCATGACTACGATTATGACGGTCATGATTATGATTGTGGTTGTGATGACCATGATTACGATTATGACCACGATGATGATCATGGTGACGATGATGATGATTACGATTGCGATTACGACTATGGTTATGATGACTATGACCATGATGACGACGATTACGATGGTTACGAGTATGATGACTACGATGATCATGATTATGATGATTATGATTGTAGTTGCGATTACGATGATTATGGCTATGAGAACTATGATTGCAATAACGATTACATTGTTTGTGATTACGATTGTGATGATCATGATCATGATAATGACGACTGTGATGATCATGATCATGATGACGATGATGACGATTGCGATGATTATGATGATTGATTGTGATTGCGATGATTACGACTACGATTCTGATTATGGTTATGATGATTACGACTATGATTGCGTTTACGATGATTATGATCACGATGATAACGATTATGAAAATTATAATTATAATTACGACTACGACGATCACGACCATGATCATCACGATTGTGACTACGATCATGATGATCATGATTATGAGAAACATGATTATGATCAGGATTACGATCATTATGATTATAATTATGAATACGATTACGGTGATGGTTATGACGATCATGATCATGATTATGATTATTACGGTGATGATGATTACGATTACGATTATGATGATTACGATCGCGATTATGATTGTGGTTATGATTATGATTATGGTTACGGCTACGATGATTGTGATCATGATGATTATGATTAATGACCATGACTATGATTATGATCATGATCATGATGATAATGATTGTGATTGTGAAAATTGCAGTTGACTACGGTCACGATGATTATGATTACGATTATGATGATTATGACTATGAGGATCACGATCAGGATGATTATGATTATGACCATGATCACGATTACGACTATGACGATTATGATGATCATGATTATGATCATTACGATTATGATGATCATGATCACGATGATCATAAACATGATGACGGTGATGATCACGATTACGATCATGATGATCATGACCACGATCATGATGGTTATGATTATGATGGTTGATGATTATTATTATGATGATGATGATTGTGGAGACTATAACTATGATTACGAAAACGGTAATTATGATTACGGTTATGACCACGACTACGGCTATGATTACGATGATTATGATTACGATTATGATGATTATGACGGTGATCATGATGACTGTGATGATTATGATCATGATGATGATGAAGATAGCGATCATTATGATAATGATGGCTGATTGTGATTGCGATGATTATGATTACGATTCCGATTGTGATTATGATGATTATGATTATAATGAGTACGATCACCATGACCATGATCATGACGATCGTGATTATGATGATTACGGTCATGATGATTATGAACATGATCGTGATCGCGATTACGACAATGATGATTATGATCATGATCATGATGATTATGGTTACGATTATGATGATTGATGATTATGATGATGATGATGACGATGATGATGATGATGATGCAGATTATGATTATGAAGACGGTGATTGTGATTATGGTTATGATGATTATGATTACGATTATGATTACGATGACCATGATTGTGATCATGATGATTGTGATTATGATGATCACGATCATGACAGTTACGATTACAATGATTATGATCATGATTACGATTACGAAGATTATGATTGTGATGATCATGGCTACGATGACTACGATTATGGATACGACTATAATGATTATGATTATGACGACTATGATGATGATGACGACGGTCACGATTGCAATTATGACTATGACTATGATGATTGCGACTATGACGATTGTGAACAAGATGGTTACGATTATGATTATGATGACCATGATCATGATGATTATGATCGTGATCACGATTACGACAATTATGATGGTCATGATCATGGCTATGACGATTACGATTACGACTGCGATTACGATGATTATGATTATGGTTATGACGATTACAGTTACGATTACGATGATTATGATCATGGTGATTATGATCACAGTTGTGATGATTAAGATTGCGAATCGTGATTATGATGATGATTATGATAATGACTGCGATGATCCTAATCGTGATTATGACGATCATGATTATGATGATTACGATTACGATCACGATATTGATGATTACGATTAGGATGACTGTAATTATAACTGCAATGATCATGATCATGATGATTATAACGATCATGATTACGGTTCTATGATCATGGTGGTTACGATTATGATTATGATGGTCATGATCATGATGATGATGATTGTGATAGCGATTATGATAATCACGATGGCCATGATTATGATTATGATTATGATTGCGATTACGATGATTATGACTGTGGTTATGATGATCACGGTTACGATTGTGATGATTATGATCATGATCATGATCACGGTCGTGATGATTACGAAAAACATGATTATGATCATAACTACGACGAATATGGTCGTGATTATGATTGTGATCATGATGATTATGATTACGATTGTGATGATTATGATTATGATGACTGTGGCTATGATTATAATGACTATGGCTATGATGATTGTGATGACCATGATTACGACTATGACGGTTATGATGACTATGATTATGATGACGACGATTATGATTACGATGATCATGGTCGTGATTATGATCATGACGATTATGATTATGGTTACGATTACGATTATGATTATGATGGTTACGATGACTACGATTGTGGTGATTATGATTACGATCACGATTATGTTGGTTATGATTATGACGAATATGATTATGATGGCTACGATTATGATGGCTGTGGTTGTGATCATCATCATGGTGATGATGATGACTACGATCACGACTATGACTATGACCACGATTATGATGACTATGATTCTGATGATTATGATTACGATGATCATGACCATGATGGTTACGGTGAACAATTACAATTATGATTACGATTATGATAATTATAATGATCACGATTATGATCACGATGATTTCGACAATGATTATGACCATGATGGTGATTATGATGATGATTGTTACGGTTACGATTATCATTATGGTCATGATGATTATGATCATGATGATTATGACTGCGGTGACTACGATCATGATGATTATGGAAATGATGGTAATGATTGTGATTGCGATCATGATGATTACGATTATGATGATTGAATATGATTATGATCATCATTATGACTATAAAAATGTGATCATGGTTGTGGTCACGATGATTACGATTATGATGATTACAACCATGATCACTATGATGATCATGACTATGACGATGACGATTACAACGACTGTGATTATGACGATCATGATGATTATGATTGTGATAACGGTTATGACGATTATGACTGTGACTATGACTACGACCATTATTGCGATGATGATGATCATGATGATTACGACTACGATTATGATTATGATCATAATGATCATGACCACGATGATTATGATTATGATGATTATGACCATGATTGCGATTATGATGATCATGATCATGATCACGGAAATTATGATTACGATTGCGAACACGGTGACTATGGTTGTAATTATGATTATTATCATGATGACTACGACCACAATAATGACCATGATGTTCACGATCATGATTGCGACTATGAAGATTGTGATTGTGACGATTATGATTATGATGACTACCATTATGATTACGATTATGATTATGATCATGATGACTACGATTGTGATTGCAATGACTATGATCATGATGATCGCGATGATCATAACTTCGATCATGATGATTACCGCGAATATGACTATGATGATTATAATGATTATAATTACGATTACAATTGCGATTACGATGATTATGGTTATGAGAATAACGGTTGTGACAATGATTACGACGATTATGACTACGATTATGATGATTATGGTCATGATCATTATGGTGATTGTGATGATCATGATTACGATTCTGATTATGATCACGATCATTGCGACAATGATTCCGTTTACGATGATTATGATTGTAATGATAATGGTTATGAAAATTATGATTATGGTAATGATTACAACGATTACGATTATGAATACGACGATCGTGATCATGATCATGACGATTGATTATGAAAAACATGATTATGATCGCGATTACGATCATTGTGATTACGATTATTGTCTTTATGACGATTATGGTCATGATCATGATTATCACGACAATGATGATCACAATTACGATTGTGATTATGAATACGATAATTGTGATGATCATGACTACGACTATGATGACTACGACTATGATGATTATGATTATGACGATTACCATTATGATTATGATCATTATGATGATGATGGATGATGGATGACGGATGATGGATGATGGATGGTAATGATGATCATGATGATGATGATGATGATTACGATGAACATGACTATGATTATGATTGATTATGGATGATTATGATTGATTGTGGATGATTATGACGATTATGGTCATGACTATGATTGATTATGATCATGACGATAATGATTATGATGATGATCATGACGACTACGATGATTATGATTATGATGATCATGATTATGATTGATGACCATGATTACTGTGATTGCGGTCACGATGATTATGATTATGATGATGATGACGATGACGACTACGATGATTACGACTATGATGATCATGATGACTATGATTATGACGATCATGATTATGATTATGATTACGATGATCACGGTTGATTATGGCCATGATTGTGGATGTGATGGTGACGATTATGATTACGATGATGATTACGAACATGATCATGATGATTGTGGCAATGATTATGATTACAATGGTGATTACGGTTGCGATTATGGTCATGACTGTGATAATCATGATTATGATGATTATGATTGCGGTGATTATGATCACGATGACGATCACGATCACGATCGCGATTAGGATGATTACGATTATGATTGATCACGATTACGATCACGATTGCGACCGCGAAAATATGATCATGATTATGATTACGATGAATATGATCATGATGATCATAACTATGATCACAATGATGATCACGACTATGATGACGATTACGATGATTGTGATTAATATGATCATGATGACTATGATTGTGATAACGATCATGATGACTGTGATTGTGATTAGGATTACGACTATTACTGTGGTGATGATGATCATAATGATTACGATTGATGATTATGATGATCATGATCATGACGATTATGATTACGATGATTACGACTATGGCAATTATGACTACGATGATTATGATTAT